CCAGTGGGAACAGCTTAAGAGCAGTCCTGGTTGTAACAACTACATTAAATAGCCCCAATTCTTCTCTGAACTGTCACTCCTAGACCACTGATATTTTCCATTCTGAAATAATGCCAACTGGAACAAAGTGATATTCAATTACTTCTTAAAAGTAAAAACACCCAAAAAAGGAGATTTCAATAAAGCACAATCTAAGAAGGGAAAACCATGATGAAGAGTTTTCCACAGTAATGTTGCTAAATTTAAACCACGTTACCAGCAAAATATTTACTTATCAGGCAGCATCACCATCCCCACCACAACCATCTACTGTTTACTGATTAAATAAGAGCAAAATCGTTGCCCCACATCATTAAAAAGTAAATGAACGAGCATAAATCGACTTAAATTCTCAGTCATATTCTGCCACTCCCTCTGCTAAACACCCTTCAATGTTTCCCCTTGGAAAAAAATCCAAATTCTCCAAGCAGGACCCCAAGAGCTCTAGACCTCCCTGCTCGCCTGGCTAACTCCTCTTTACCGTTCAGCTCGCAGCTCACAGGCCACTTCCTCAGAGATCCTCCCCCTTCCACCCAGACTGAACTCTGTGCCTCCTCTTCTCATAGCGCTGCATTCTTTTTCCGCACCATGCTTTTCAAAATATTCAGATAAATGTGTATCCACGTGATTACTTATTGTGTGCCTACTCACGAGACGATTAGCTCCACGCGGACATGTTTTGGTCCCTGTAGTACATCCAATACCTAGATGATGGTTGGCCACAGAAAAGGACTAGATAAATATACGTGGATGAATAAATTGCTAAATGCCCTATATCTATGTAATAGACCTGCTAAAAGTAAAACAGGGCTTCAGGTTTTTCTTTTAACACCTTACATAACAGAAGAAATATCTTTGAGTATTACTATTTCAAGAGCAAATATGTACACAAATGAAGATTACACAAATCGTGATTACACAAATAGCAATTACACAACAGTGGCACATACTTGCCACCCTCATCTGACTTAGCTTGGACACGGGGACGCATGAAAGACTAAGAGGGCGCATTTCCCAGCTGCCACTGCCATCAGCAAAGGGGTCTCCCTGGTCTGCCCCCAGACTGTGGGGCAGAAGGAATGACTGGGGCAGAGGGAAGAAAAAGCATAGTCAGAGGCCAAGCACTCCAATTCTAACAATGGTAACCATGCCACCCTTCCAGAGCTCACTTGCACACCTCCAGTGAAAGATGACCCTTTCATTACCAATACTGCAGAATCACAAATTTCACAGGAAAGCATTGCTGGTTCCGATCAAACAGCCTCTGCCACGTACTACCACACACCCTGGCCTTCTGATGGGAAACAGGGTGAGAGAGAAGGAAGATGAGAAAAACAATCTGGCAGGGCCTGGGAAGGGCCCAGAGCCAGGGACGCACAAAGAAGGGTGAGAAAGGGAATCTGGGGTGAAGTTAACACATAACTGGAAGAGCCAAGTGGGCTAACCACCGTGGCAAATAAGGACAGGCTAAAGGGCTGGATGCTCTGATGAGATCTGGTAAGGAGAGTGTATGTGTACACGAGTAGAATGAACTGGAGGTTATCGTAACTTACAAGTGACAATGGGCTATAAGGTCCACTGTATCTGTGGGAAATGTGGAACAGAAGTGACAGTCCTTGAAACTGAAAGAGTTACAGCAGTATGCACCGCGGATGCTCATGTTCGGTTGAATACAGCCTGGGGAGTCACAGAGACTAAGGTGGGAACGGAGTCAGCGAAACATGCAGAAGGGTGATCTATAGGTCAGTGAGGGCAGGAGGCAGGGGAAGAGACAGCTTAGATGAATAATGTAGGGTTACAAAAGAAGAGACTGAAATGGAAACAAAATGAAATCATTTCTAATGCCATGAACTGGAAAAGATGGAAAAAGAACATATTACTGAAAAACCAGGATTCAGTTAAGGTGAGGTAGTAGAAGGAGCATTTGAAGAAAAGGTTAAATATCTAAGAGACTTTGTCTAGGGGTCCAGCAGAGCAGGTGGCAGCAGGAGCGGCCGGGCAACACGGTCCGGGGATGGGAGCTTGAGGCGGAACAGGAGGAGGGAGGGATTTGTGACTAAGGTGCTAGGTTCAGGTAGGATGACATACTATGTACAAGGCCCCCAACATACAGGTACCGAGATAAATAAGAGAAAGGCGATATGGGGTAAGTGATCAGCTCACAATAAATATGCCTGGTCCATTCATCTCCCTTGGACATGGTTGACTGACCCTGTACGGGCCTATCAGATTCTCTTTCCTGAAAATTAAAAACCTTTCAAAGTGACTGAAGGTAGCTGGAGCCACTTTATAACACCCTGGAAAGAACATCTATGTTAACTCCTGTGGATACTCTGGTTCTCTTCTCTCACAAAACCTGGTTACTCAAATTTTCCCCCGATTCTGAGAGCTGTGCCTACCCTTTAATAATGTCTTTATTATTAATAATAACCTTTAATAATGTCTCCATGTTTGCTTTGTTTGTTTTAGCCAGAATCATTTCTGTTGCTTATCACCAAAGTATCTTTCCTGATTTAACATGGCTTCTGCCCACAGCTAACTCATTTCATAAATGAGGAAACGGAGGCCCTGAGAATGTATTTTTTTTTACAGGTTATAAGACCAAAACGTGGGACTTCCCTGGTGGCACAGTGGTTAAGAATCCGCCTGCCAGTGCAGGGGAAATGGGTTCGAGCCCTGGTCCGGGAAGATGCCACATGCCACAGAGCAGCTAAGCCCGTGCACCACAGCTACTGAGCCTGTGCTCTAGAGCCCACGAGCCACAACTACTGAAGCCTGCACACCTAGAGCCCGTGCTCCGCAACAAGAGAAGCCACCGCAGTGAGAAGCCCACGCACCACAACGAAGAGCAGCCCCCGCTCGCCGCAACTAGAGAAAGCCCGCGCGCAGCAGCCAAGACCCAACACAGCCAAAAATAAACAAATAAATTTATTTTTTAAAAAAAGACCAAAACCCAATTGTCCCTACTATACTACTCTCAGCGATTTTTTTTAAAACAGATTTAGACAGACAGCTTCCAAAAGACTTATAATCCAAATAACGTCAGCTAAAATCTAGGTATAAAGGTAAAACAGAAAAAGCTAAAACTGGAGCAGATGGAGGTGGCTAATGAGTCTGGAAGAGCCACGATCTTCTAATAGTAGCTAGTGGAGGATATAGTTCATATTCTATTGTAACATGAAGCCTGTGTAACGGAAGATTTCTATAAATTTTTTTTAAATATCTGAAGCCATTGTATTAATATAAAATTTGGATTAAAAAAAAGTAAATGTAAAAAGGTACAGAGCCAGAGAAAGGAAAGATAAATATCAACATATAGACAAAATTATAAAGACCGTGTCTATAATATCAGAATATTTTTGGCATCATCACATGCTTAAAAACATTTGTCTCGGTATCCTTCCCCTCCAAATATTTTGGGCCTATAAAACACTTCTCATACTTCCTTGACCTTCCAAGATTCTGTGGCCATTTCACTTCCTCCTTTTCTCAGAATCTCTGTAAGGCTGATTTCCTTTGTTTACCCTGTCAAGTGTCCTTTCCTTCCTAAAACTTTCACTTTATTTCCCTTTTTCTAGCCTAAAACTTGGCCACTATGTATTATTCTTTCCTGTTTCCCTGGTGTTTGATATTTTCTCATCTAACCATTCCCTCCCGAATACAGGACAATCTGAATTGGCACAGTCTCACAAACTTTTTCCGTGGCGCTGCCTCAGAAAGAACGACAGGAACTTTTTAGAAAAACGTTAACAGAGGTGATCGGTTGCTAAGACTGAGTATAAATACCACATATGCTTCCATGAAGCTGTTCATTTCTCTTTGAACCACGGGTTTTCAATAAAAAATGGGAAGCAAGTCTCTTATTTATTCCACATGGTCCAAACCTATTATGATAAACAAACATGTAGAGCCAGTGCTCCATATGAAATACCTCAGGTAAATATAATTATTTTACAAAAAGGAAACTATGGGCTTCCCTGGTGGCACAGTGGTTGAGAGTCCACCTGCCGATGCAGGGGACACGGGTTCGTGCCCCGGTCCGGGAAGATCCCACATGCTGCGGAGCGGCTGGGCCCGTGAGCCATGGCCGCTGAGCCTGCGCGTCCGGAGCCTGTGCTCCGCAACGGGAGAGGCCACAACAGCGAGAGGCCCACATACCGCAAAAAAAAAAAAAGTTTTTAATAAATAAATAAATAAAAAGGAAACTATATTACACATTAAGTAATGTATTTAATTAAAAGATAATCTAATAGACTATATCAGCCAGAATGGAAATTCAGGGTTCCCCTCCACTTATATATCAAAAAACAAATGAAATAATCATAAAAAAATGAACATTTTATATATTTCAAACTTACAAGAGGAATATGTATCACAGACTTCTTATAGCACTTAGCTCTGTTTACTTCCAATCTTTCTAATAATTACACAAATTCAATTCCATGTACATGTAGATTATGTGAAAACACCCACTCCTTAAGTAACAGAAGGGAAACAGCAAATCTTAGTGAGGTTTATATCAAAATTTAACATAAAAACTCTCTTCAGGATAAAGAACATCATTTATCTTTCAACCATAACTATTCTAAATTGATAATATGCTGATTCCACTATATCCTAAATCAGTGGTTCATTATGGGGTGAGGACTGGGGGACAGACGGGAGGGGTGGGGAGGGGTGGGAGGGGAGGGAGGGGACATGTGGCAAGCCCTGGAGCTACTTTTGGTTGTCTCCATGTGGTGGCAGTTGGGGGCTGGGGGGCTGAGGTGCTACTGGCATCTAGTGGGCAGAGGCCAGGGATGCTGTGAAACAATGCACAGGACAGCCCTTCACAACAAAGATTATCCTCCTCAAATGGCTGAGAAACTGTCCCACAGAGAAATGAGACCCAAAGAGAAGAGCAGCTGATCAGGAATAACCATGAGTCACCGCCGGCCCTCTCGGTTCCAAGGAGCCCCTACCTTGGATGCCTGCGGCGTGGATATCACATGGACCGTGCTGGGTTTGACTCCGTTAGCCTTCGGCCGCTTGTAGAGAGCAAATCTGCTTTTCCTCCGGCCTCTGTCTCCATTAGGTAAAGCACCATTGTACCTATAAACAGGGATGAGAGGTATTTGTAGATTTTCAAGGCATTAAGAATAAAAGTTCGATGGCCTAAGGGAAAAGACAGGAATGCCCACAAAGACTTGCCCACTAACCGCCCCACAAAAGGGACACAGAACAGACGGTTCACAGACGTCAGCTATGATGAAGTTCAAATCACTTCCGGAAACTTAATTGAAGAGTGATGTACAAAGTAATTACAGGTTTCCTATTCTATAAAGTCAGACTCTTCAAATCTTTTCAGAAGAGACCGAGTATAAAATAAGCAAATGAAAATTCTGCAGAGGCCGTATTAGTGCTGGTTCAACTCAGCAAGCGCAGTCCTAATGGGCCCCGGAGAAACACTCGAGAAATATTTTTAAATGAACTAGTTAGAAACTAGCATTCTAATTAAACCTCATCTCTCACTCGCAAATCATGTTAATGTCTGTAGGATCTTTATTTGTAAGACCCAATTTAGTTACTTGCATTCTTAAAAGTTCGGAATTCTCCACCTTCATTCCCATTGCTATTTGAACCCTATACTGTCAGGTTAGCAAAAACTAGCCTGCAAAATTAAACATAAAGTATGACTCTACAAGAATGTTGACCATTAAAAAGCCCAAAGGTAAATAAAAAAGATGAGTTTTAGTCCACAAACTAACAAATATCTCTAAAAGTCACCTGGAAAACACTACTGTCCTTAGCAGATTTCCTGAATTAATACCTTAAGCCGGTACCAGTGTTTAAAAGAAATGCAGGATTGCAGGAGGGTTTCCGTTTTCACCTGTATTTTCTAACTCTGGATTAAGGGTCCCTGTACGTTCTGACCGCTTCTCATGCTGCCACACTGCCATGTCTATTCTCCAACTCCCTCTTGGCAGAAGTTCTTTTCAAGAAGAGAACCGAAAGAAGGAAGGGAATTGTTTCAAATCTGTATGGATAAACATAACAGCTCCAAAGCTCCCTCGGAGCACCAAAGTCAGGGGCAGTGCCTGTGGTGTAGCGGCTCCACCCTCTCCCGGAAGTCTTGCCTTTGCCACTTGTCCATCAATCCCAGAGATCATGGCGGCCATGATCTCTGGGTGGGACACAAGGCCCACTGAGAACAGTGAAAGTCAGAACAAGGGGTTTGTGGTGTTTGTTTTACAATTCAGTAGCTATAGTATGACAATGGATTTAAATTATCACCAGAAGTTATTCCTGCTGTGTTTTTAATGTCTCCATTTCCATCACAAAGGAACGTCAGCAACAAGAAAATGCCTCTAGAATACAAAAATAATTTGTTTCAAGTTTTATTCCTCTCCTTTTTCTGAGGCAAGATCAGAATAATGTGCATTGTTTTCTTAAACATATCTGTGATCACTACTACAAAGAACATATCCATGAGTAAACAACCACTATAAACTCACTTTGTCCTAATGTATTTCCGTGTCACTTAAACCAAGATGAGCATCCTGTATTAAGAGAAACATACGTGACTCAATCAAAGGCAGGGCTGTAAACAATTAAGGGACATTTTCACCACTGTGGCCTAGAGGCAATTGGTACAAGATCTGGCAAGGTTCCTTGTGACCCTCACACTTGCCCAGCTCTCCGCTGCATCTTTCTCTCAACTATATACTGCTGGTCAAGGATAGCGAACCTAGTAAGAGCACGGCAGGTGCTTTTGAAGAGATCTGCTCACCATGACATCCCTTCTCAGGAATCCAGCCCTGAACTCCCTAAGGGGAGCCCCCGGCATCATGTCTGAATGAAACGGCCAGGCCAGCATCCTCCCCACCACCCTGGAGCTGAATTAGCTGGAGGCAGACATCCGGCCCGAGCTGGCCAATGACATTCTCATCCCGGAAAACACAAAGCCGGACGAGAGACAACCGCCAGTCTGCGTGGGTGGCCAGAGCTGCAAACTGGAAGCACGGGAGCTGTGGGGATGTCACAGTCTGTTCCGTGATGAAGCAGCAGAGAAGTGAGGAGTGAAACAGATGAACAGAGACAAGCAACAAAAAGAGATGGAAAGAGGGTCCTTAAGGGCTTCTATTGGCCCAGATGTACTCTGACCCTTGTTGGTGAAATTCTTTTTAGTTTCAGCTAACTCAGGTTGGTTTCTGCTACTTGCAACCCCAAAGCCATATCTAATATAAAGCTGAAAACACAAAAACCAGAAATGTCAACCTTAACGTATGCAAAAGCATTTTCATTTCAACTGCCTGAGCAGAGATGCACAGATATTTCAGGTTAAGCAAATATGCCAGTCCACTTAATATGCCTGCTTACTTAATACATCTACATGACACCCAGTGAAAAACCGTGCTGGAAATAATTAAGGTAAGAGTGGAGAAAACAGTGTCACGATGAGAAAAGTTTCGAATCAGGTTAAGCTACATGGTCATTCGTTCAATATTTATAATGCCAAGTACTAGAGCTGCAACGATGAATATCAACCAACCCGTGTTCAGAGCTCTCCACTTAAAAGCAGAGAAAGACATAAAAACAAGCATGATAAAACACTTGTGCAACAAGATGCACTAGTCATTCAAAGCACGTGGGAAGAGCCATGTCGGAAGCCCTCACAGAGCAGACAGTGTGAACTTTCTTGGAATCTGAACAAGATGACTAAATGGGGAATGCAGGGCAATCGTATGTACAAAGGCAAGGAGTGGTTCAGTGCTGTGGGAGCGTAGAGTTCAAGAGGACAGACGCAGAGGGCTAGGAGGGTAAAAGGTGGGCAGGGCCCAGATTACAACCCCCTGATGCTCCATGACGAGGGGCATGGCCTTTCACCCTAAGAAGAATGGGAGCTGGTAAGATGTAAGCAAAGGACTAACATGATTGCATATAAAGTAATCATGAGGGCAGCAGCATGCAAGATGCACATCCGGATTAGAGTCAGGATGACTGGATGGGAGAACTGTCCTAACCTGAGGAGGAACGTAGTGGGTGGCCCTCAGAAAGACAGGTCCATGTCCCAGAACCTGTGAAGGGGACCTTACTTGGAAAAAGAGTCTTTGCAGACGTAGTTAGGGATCTGGAGATGAGATCATCCTGGATTCCTGGGGCCCTAAATCCAGTGACTAATGTCTTTAGGAGACACACACAGGGAAAGAGAGGAGACGACCAGGTGAAGATGGAGGCAGAGACTGGAGTTAGACGATCACAGGCCAAGGAACGCCTGGAGCCACCACAAGCGGGAAGAGGCAAAGGAGAACCCTCTCCCAAGGCCTTCAGAGGCAGCACGGCCTTGCGGACACCTTGATTCCAAGACATGAGGCCTCTGGAACTGTGGGAGAACAAATTCTGCTGAGAGTTGTTTTCAATGCTAGATGAACATGAGAATTACCAGGGAAGCTTCATAAAAATATGCGTGCCTAAGTCAGAAGAGATGCTGATTCAGTAGCTCTGGGACGGAACTTTTAAAAGTTCCACAGGTGATCCTTACTTGCAGCTACAGTTGAGGACCCTGGTTTTAAAGGCAAAAAATCAATAGTAATTGGTGACCTATGATGTGGCCGCACCAAGTGAGGGACAGAGAAAGGGAATATCACATAGGCTCCCGGCCAAGGCCAAGGCGACGGCACTATTAGAAATAGGAATTACAGGGACATCCAGGGGAAGCCGTGTATGAGGCAAGAGAAGTTATAAACTTGGGTGCCTGCACCATACAGGTGTGGAAGTTAAAATCATGAGAGCAAATGAGATTACTCAAGGAAATGTACAGAATAAAGTAAAGAAGGCAAGGACAGACCCTGGGAAAGATGACCATTTAAAGAAATAAACCGTAATTCACAGAACTATTCGTCAAAAAAGTGACTTTCAACATATGTAAATTTCAAACAAAATAAATACCTTTTATATCTTCAAAAAAATAAATAAATAAACCCTTCTTAGTCATAGGTAGAAGGACCAGGACCAGTAGAAAGTTGCATTACCAAAGATAGGAGAAGAGAGAATTTTAACAGTGTTTAATCAGTTAAGAGGCCAGTCAGAAATGCGCAAGTATGATTTGGAAAAGAACAGGTCATTGGTGACATCACCCACCTTCAGAGCAAACCAGCAACGCAAAAACAAGCAAAGCCCTCCAGCGCCGAGCCTCACTGTGAGCCTACCCTCTCCTTCCCAGCTTCTCACGGCCAAGAACCTCAAAAGAGGGCTCCACACCCACCGTCCCAATTCCCTACCTGTTGACTCTTCAGCCCACCGTTGTTTGCCTCCAAATCTAAAGGTACATTTGCTCATAAAGGCAAAAAAGTACTATTCCATGAAAGAGGGTCAGAATGCTGTCTGGCCCTGCAAGCTTTTCAGCCAGCAAGTTTGCAGAAATAAGATTTCCAAGTGCTGCGGCCATACCTGTCTCAGCTGCTAAACAAGGGTAATTTGATTCAAACCCACAAGTTGCCTTTCAAGCTTCAAATTAAAAAAAAAATTCTGGAGACTAAAAAAATCCACTTATTTAGTAAATGTGTGATGAAAATGTAGCTCTTCATATACGCAGGGCAAATAGGTGGTAAAGGTATTTGGAAGCTTCAGAGGACAATGAAAAACCCTCGTAAGAAACCTCACAAGGTAAGAAATGGTGTTTCTTGGTTTCAAATTCAGAGTTCACACATTAATTCTTTTAAATAGCATTTGCTGTGCATTTACTATGTGCCAAGAAACCTTGTAAGGGAGGCTCCTCGTGGGCAGATAAGAGGCTTGAATGACTGGAACACGCATAAATTGCACGGCTGGGAAGGGGCAGATGGGACTCAAGTCTACATCTGGTTTTGTCTGACTCCATATTTCATACTCTTTCCAGTAGCCAACACTGACAATTTTTAAATTCAAGGCATTTCCTGGCAAACACCACAAAGATACATTCTTGAGAAGACGCCTGCCACCTAAAAAATGCATTTGTCAAAAAGAATTTTCTATAGGAAATAACAGCAAGAGAGGGCGTGCCAGGGGCTCCCAGCCACACTTCGGAGGCATCACATTTGATCTTAACCAGTCTGAACTCACGGAGCAGCACC